TCGGCTTTCAAGTGGAAGAGATTGACGAATCTGCAGATTTCTTTCATGGATAATATTCTTTTCAAATTTGTTTCTGTGTTGGAGGGTGTAGTTCTTGTTCTTAGACTCTGTTTCTTCTTCCTCTGTTTTGGATGTCACTTTTGAATTTGGATTCCGCTCTGTTTCGTTTCTGAAATTATTTGTTGATATTTCTCGTTGTTTCTTTGTTTCTTTCAATGTTCTGTATGATTTGCATTCATAGGATTCGTTTGGGTTGTTCCGATTTTGATTTATGGGATTTTCGGGAGGAAGAGATTAGCAGTTTGTGTAGCGCTGTAAAATTCTAGATCAATGGACATTTAAGTTCGATCGTTGTTAGTAACGGCCGTCAATATTCGTTGTTTGTTCATTTTAGTGAAGAAGTCTTAGCAGCAGGGGAATGGATTACAGGAAAATACTCGGAGATTTGGGTTTTCCGGCGTCATCGCCGGCGTGTGTTCTTCTCCGATGAGGAAAAACGTTTTAGTATTCTAGATTAATGGGATTAGTAGTTTGTGTAGCCCTGTAAAATTCTAGAACAATGGATATCTGAGTTCGATCGTTGTTAGAAATGGCCGCCTGATTCGTTGTTTGTTCATCTTAGTGAAGAAAACTTAGAAGCCGGGGAATGGTTTTCCGGCGCCGTCGCCGGCGGTGTGTTGTTCTCCGATGATTAAAACCAGTTTAATATTCGAACGAATCAGGTTACAGATCTCTGCTGAGTTGGGTTTCTTAGAAAATTGTGCGGTTGAAAAAGTTGAAACCGATTTCTTTGGTAATTTATGGCAATGAAAGTTGGAATCTGATTCAGTTTCTTTTGATTTCTGTCTGTTCTTGGCATTTTATGATTAGTTAGTAAATTTGATTGCATTATGCAAATTAGTATAAATATTATTATTTCTATTTTTCTAGAATATGTTTAATAAAAAAATATAATTTTAGTGGAGAGGACGGAATACGAACGACCAATCGAATTGAATCGACCTTTACAGTAGTAGCCCACACACAAACCCCCCATGTTCGACGTGTGTGTAAACAACGTGTTTCTTTTGGGCGCTCAACGTGGTTTCCTCCAATGGTGCCACATTTCATCTTGGTCGTGCACGACGGTGGCTCTCCTCCATGGTCACCATGGAATGATCTTGGAGTTACTAAGAATGAGCTGGATCTTGGTGCGCTAGAGTTTGAATTATGTGTGGCAGTCAACGACGGTGGATATCGGTGGCATAAGATGAAGAAAATGAACATGAACGACGACGATAATTGTCTTTCATGATGGAGCTGGGTCTCGTGTGTATTGAGTGGAACGATGATCCATCGATGCAAGCAACCACACAAGCTAGACACGATGATAAAACCAAAGCGTAGTCAAACACTAACCCTAAACACCAAAAAAGAGTCATTAACGTTAGGATTCCAACTCGTAATGCAATTATAGACCGTTTTTTTTCTCTCTCTTATGTCGTGTGAAACATCAACTTGTGAGAAGAGTCGAGTTCGCTCGACTTCTACAATTGACTGTTTAACACTGACGTTATTAATCTATTAAATATAATTAAAAATATAACTAATAAGATTAAAATTTTAATATCGTAAAATCTTAAACTTTTAACTTTATATCAAGTTAGGTCGAGAATAAAAATAATATGAGATTAAAAGCTCAAATAAATTATATAAATTCAAAAATTTATTAGTTAGTGACCAATTTTCTTTAATTTGTTTCCACATTTATGTTTATTTCCATATTTGAATAAACCAACATAAATTAGATTAAATAAATAAGTTTTTTTTTTAATTATTATATTTATTTATTTTTTATTATTTTTTTTTTTTACTTTTTTGAGTTTATTTCCAAAATTAATAAATACTAAGAAAATTTTAAAAGTAATATTAATACCATTTATTATTTATTTATTTTTAATTCTTACCGTCAAAAAAATTATTTATAAACGTCTTAATGTTACTCTGGAAAGTTTATGAGTATTTTAAAATATGGTACTACGTCAATTTATTTATGCGTCGCCTACGGCCAAGTGACGTATATTCGAGCCTCTAGTCCCGATTCAATAAGAAAGTTTTAGAAAGCGAGGTAAAGAGATTTTGAAAGCAGGATTTGAGAGATTGAAATTGGTGTTATATGTGATGCAAGCAAAAAGGCAATAACAACGGCTTATAACATCTAACTATCGGGTAGAGAGAAGTTGATAATTAGTCATATCCCCTGTAGTACATTTTGGGGCATTTTAGTGCTTGCAAGGGTAGACACGATTTTGGTGAACAGTCATACACCATTGTACTGACCCAATATGAAATGGTAAAGACTTATCTAGGATGAAAGCATGTAAAAGGGGTTTGGAACGAGCATGCAACCATAGACAACACGTCCTAGACAAGCAAGACCGGGATATCTGTCATGCGGCCATTGACAACACGCCTTGGACATGCATGACCGTGACATCCAGGTTATTTTTGAATTAAAAAAAAAGTCCAAAGGTGTTTTTAAAGTTTTTTTTTTAAATATATTAATAGAACTCTCGAAAACTAAAGGATATTGTCGAAACACTTTTGAAAATAAAAAATTATTTTTGAAAGTTCAAGAGTACTTTTGAACCAAAGTATTAACGGTTTCTATCTAAAACTAACGGTAAGTGTATTTTTTAGACTTTTTTGAACGTTTCTAAGATAATGCACGTTTTCTTTCATTTCCCTCCCGCTAGCTATGCTCAAAATTACGATTCGAATTCTCTATGTCTCTCTTTTTGTGTAATAAACCCTAACGACATCTGATTTAGACTCAACTACTAAGGTACAATCTAACTAAAATAATTAAGTCTTGATGGATCTTTTCGTGATTCAATTATTAATTAAGGTATATAAGTTGTAACAAGAAGAACGGAGGATAATTGAACCATCGAGATATCTGTTCAACATTAAATGTTTTGACATGATTGGACGTTATATTTTATTTGATTTTATACTTTTAACATGAAATTTTGGGTCCCATTTCGTACGATTTGAAAGTTTAAAGGTATTTTTGAAACGGGTACTAACGATATCGTCTATATACTAACTGTAATAGTATTTTTTAAACAAGATACTAACAATTTTCATCGAATACCCTATCCGTCTTTTTTTTTTGTTGAAATTCTTGTTTATAGATTTTTTTAAAAACAAAATATAAAGTTCAGGATTATTTTTTGTTAATTCTATTATAATGACTCACTTTTCGAGAGACTCGAGTCACGGACCGTTACTTACTGATATGGAATAATAAAAATACATAAAATTTAAAATATTTAATTACGCACATAAAAAATTCAATTTTAAAATAGTAATAAAATTTTTAATTTTACAAAACACAGAGACGGAGAGACCATCAAAATACAAACGTATTTTAAATTACGTGAAATACAGAAATTAAAAGACAAGCACGGAAAAAAAAAATCTTAACTCGAAAATAAATTTCGTTCATAGGCTAACCCTAGGTTCGTTTGTTCCACCTAAGCTCAAATTAGGACAATTTAACTCAACTAGTTACTAGTTCTTGGTTCTATTTGGACCTCTAGCCCTCGAAATTTCTCTTAGGCTCTCAAGGTCTCTTGAATTATCGTTCTACTGATCTCTTTTATTATCGTCATAGTTCTAGACCTATATCATAGATCCTCGAGGCACGACCTTAACTATAAATTCTCATAAAGATCATGATCATGGATGTTAAGTTTAATCATTATTATTTATTTATTGAGTTTAACGATTCATTTAAAATTTTAGTTACTAGTATATACGTTGGGTTGGGTTGGAAAATATTTTAATCTGATATGAAATTTCAGTCTGGTTGGGATGGTGACATAAACAACTCGGACAAAGTTCACAACCTAATTCAACTCATCCTCTATTTTCGGATTGGGTTGTCAAGGTATTTTTGTTTAAATTATATTAAAAAATTTATACTTATTTACCGTACATGTTATATTAATAACTAAAATCTCATAAAACTTAAATATCAGACATTCATAAGTCACAACCTATCACAGACATCAGTTACAAACATCAAATATTCTTAATATTCATAATAATCTTAAAAATAGGATAAAGCTATAACCCTATTTTCGGACTTTCTGTTTTAGGCTTCCTCTCAAGATTTTTAAAACGCGTCTACTAGGGGAGGTTTTCATTCCTCGCTTGGGCAGATATTGTTTTCTTTGGGCTTTCGGGCTTCCCCTCAAGGTTTTTAAAATGCGTTTACTAGGGGAGATTTCCACACCCTTATAAAGAATTAATCGATGTGGGATCTCACACAATTTTCAGGACCCTTGTGTCCCAACACTTGATCAGATAAACCCCCAATGACCCACAACTCAAAATTAACCTTGCAACGAGACGCAGACATTCCCCATGCTGCAATTCCTCCCGTCCAATCCCAAGTTGGGTTAGGAGAACATCCAAACAATTGCCTTCACATATCCAAACACGCTCACAAGACGCACAAATAACAATAAAACCGATAAAAACTTCATAAAGTACCATTTGAGTTGCAAATCGTAATACTCCCAAGATTGAGTGAAGGAGAGAAGCTAAGTTCAGGAGAGAAGCTGTTCGTTCCAGATAGAGTAAGTAGGGAGACGAGAAAGAGCTGTTTGTTCAAGGATCAAGATCAGTGTTTGAGAGAAAGATCAGTGAATCAATAGGTGATTGAGGCATATTTCAAATACAGAGTAACGGAAGTCCCAACAATAAACCGAGTTTTCGATCTTCCAAAAATCCAACCCAACCGAAAAAAAATAAAAATATATATATATATATATATATATGGACCTCCAAAACATAATTTAAACATTGGTCTATATTTAGTTTGACGTTAGGGTTTTAATGGTTGAGCTAATATATGACATCAAATCATGGTTAATAATTAATTAAAAAATTAAACATCAAATAAATGAATATAAAGAAATTAATGTAATGTAGGTCGCCTAAATCACATCCTTCAGTTGGGCGTAGATTACGAGAACCCTCTTTGAGTGGCTTCACCATTTAGCCAGACAAATCGCTGCCCCCCTTACCCTCTTCGATTCTTCCCAAGTTCTTATTCCTGCTCTAAAATCCAAACCAATTGCCAGATTTCAATCTCCACCATCCCCCATTTTCATCTCATCTTCTCCTTGCAATCATCGCCATCCTTGTTCTATACAAATCCCCTTTCCTTCCTTCCTCAAATCGCCATTTTCCACCATGCAGGCTGTTCAATCTCCCACTCTCAAGCCCTCTCCATTGGACCCATTCCGTCGCCGGAAATGCTCCCCTTTCCTCGTCGCTGCTGCTCCGAAATCCAAGCGTGTTTCCTTCATTTCTGCATCTGCGGCTTCCACTGTCTCTGCGCCTAAGCGGGAGAAGGATCCTAAGAAGCGTGTGGTGATTACTGGAATGGGGCTTGTTTCTGTTTTCGGAAATGATGTTGATGCTTACTATGATAAGCTGCTTGCTGGTGAGAGTGGGATCTCTCTTATCGATCGTTTTGATGCTTCCAAGTTTCCTACTCGTTTTGGTGGCCAGATCCGGGGATTTGCTTCTGAGGGTTACATTGATGGTAAGAATGACCGGCGGCTTGATGATTGTCTTCGGTATTGCATTGTGGCTGGTAAGAAGGCTCTTGAGGATGCTGACCTCGGTGGAGATAAGCGCTCTAAGGTCATTTCCTCCTTTTGATTTTCTTTTGGATGTGAACTGTTTTGGTGAAGTATGTGTTCGTCCTGGTGTCCTTCTGCATGATTACATTCCTTGTTATTTTCTTTTGGATTCAATTGTTTCTGGTCGGTTTGCTGAATTCTTCATGAATCTTAGATCTGGAGGTTGTTTGCAAAGTTGTGAAGTGTTTTTACCTTTTGATTCAAACTATATGCGCATAGGAATTGAATATTTCATTATGCTTAAGTCAAGTATGGAGTTGAATTAGCTGTGGAGCTGCGTCTAAATCATTTAGTTTACTCATTTTTTTTGTGAGATAATGCAATCTATCACTACGCCTAAGTGACATGCATGAATTAGGATATCAACGTTAACCTGTAATTGTAATCCAAGCGACCTTTGGCTAAATATATTGACCTCTAAAAGCTCAAGATTCTATTATTTCTCTCACTTAAAAACCCCCACACAAAATAGCAGCTTGCCACAAAAACAACCCTTTATCATGCAAAGTTGAATGAGAAGTTGCTTGATTGTTTCTCTACAACCTTGAGCATTGACGAAGAACACTTGAAATAAACAACTCCAAACAACACTAGCAAAATTACATCTTTAGAGGATGTGATCGAGATCCTCCAAAAGGAATTTAGTTGCATAATCAGATAGAGATGCATGGAGGTTTGAAGAAATTATTGGTTGTTTGACTTTACTTTCCTTGATCTAGGGGAGAATTCCATTTAAGAGAAAATAATTAGTTTGTTCTTCAGGCAGTCACTGCTTTGAAGCTTTTATTAAAGATCCTCAGTTCTATTGTTCATTTTTTCTCTTATCTTATACAGTTATGGTTTTATTTTGCAACAGATTGACAAGGAGCGTGCTGGAGTGCTTGTTGGAACAGGGATGGGTGGTCTAACCGTCTTTTCCGATGGTGTTCAGGCTTTGATAGAGAAAGGTCACCGGAAGATAACCCCTTTTTTTATTCCTTATGCCATTACAAATATGGGGTCTGCCTTACTTGCCATTGATATTGGTTTCATGGGTCCCAATTATTCTATATCCACTGCTTGTGCCACCTCTAATTATTGCTTCTATGCTGCTGCTAATCACATCCGTCGAGGAGAGGCTGATATGATGCTTGCTGGTGGAACTGAAGCTGCTATCATACCTATTGGATTAGGGGGTTTTGTTGCTTGTAGGGCTCTATCTCAAAGAAATGATGACCCTAAAACTGCTTCAAGGCCATGGGACAGAGATCGTGATGGCTTTGTTATGGGAGAAGGTGCTGGCATATTGGTAAGCTTTGACGTATATCTTGATGTGCTCTGTAAATTCTGCAAGGATAAGCTACTTTATCTTGCTTTTACCTGGACTGCTATGTATTCAACAAGGAAGATGAATATTCATTTTCTTCGTGTTGAATTTCACTGTGTTTGACCTCATTCCAAACCTATTTGAAGATAACTCCAGTGGTAGTTTTTACCTGACAGGTTATGGAGAGTTTGGAGCATGCAATGAAACGTGGTGCACCAATTCTTGCTGAATACTTGGGAGGGGCTGTTAACTGTGATGCTTATCACATGACAGATCCTAGAGCGGATGGTCTTGGTGTCTCTTCTTGCATCTTGAGCAGCCTTGAAGATGCAGGTGTATCACCTGAGGAGGTAACTGAATCTGATCTATTTATTCTGTTTCTGGAATCCCCAATTGCTGACGCTAATGCTGTTTTAATAGTTTCAAAGTTCGTATTGATAATGTCTAGAGAATGACGTTACACGGTTTGCAAGTGCATTTGCACAATATTGCAAGTTGGTTGGCCTGTATTTTGTGTACCTCATGGTCATCTAGTTACACTTTGTAAATATGTTATTCAAGTTTACTTTAAAGAAAAATAAATTTCATCTTGTTTCTCATGTCAAATGTCTTGGTAAAGTTGAAATGTGATTGGCTCCAACCTAAGATTTTCATCTTACCTGGATGAATATGAGTAGCACTTATTTGTAACAATTGTTGCATGTGACATTAAACAGCAAAGTTCTTTATATGTGGATGTTCATGGGCCTAATACTGGTTAGGGAACTCCAAGTAATTCCTATACCCTTCCAACTACAGAACACATCGCACATTTCCTTTTGAATCGATTTTTTTCCTTTTTCTTTTGAATCTTTTCTGTTATACGGGGAGGTGGAAGGCTACCATTTTTGAAATGTTCAATTGTCACTGTTTTTGAGGAAAAAAAAACTAAGTTTACTTTTCTTTTTTTTTGTTTTTTTCTCAATAAAATTTGCAGGTCAACTATATTAATGCACATGCAACATCCACCCTTGCCGGTGACTTAGCTGAGATCAATGCCATCAAGAAAGTGTTTAAGAATACATCAGAGATCAAAATCAATGCAACTAAGGCAACCTCTCTTCTCCTTCCTTTCCTCCCTCCCCCACCATATTCACCAGCATTTACATGGCTTCAATGTATTCCTTTCGAGGTGATCCAATGGTTTGCTGATGCTTTTTCTCGTTGTCATTTCTTTTCAGTCTATGATAGGACACTGCCTCGGTGCTGCTGGAGGTTTGGAAGCCATTGCCTCTGTGAAAGCAATCGAAACTGGATGGTTGCATCCTTCCATAAATCAATTTGTATGTTTCCTTTTCCATTTTAACAATCTGGTTTCTGATAATGTCCGGTTAACTTTTGAACGTAGAGCAAGACCCTATCGACAATCGCAATTAGAATTGTTTGTCAGTCTCTACTTTCTGTTCTTTATTACACGTTCATACACTGCACTTCAGTTTAGTACCATCCACGAAATCGAGAAGAATTGATGTTTTAACTGGAGGGGTGGTAGTTGGAAAAGGAGTTCATTATTTCCCATGGCTTTACTGAAAGAATTAGTTTCAGGTTATAGCATAGTTCAATTCTGTCTCAAATCCTAATGATTCATTGATTTCAGAGAGTCCAATCTATTTCTACTCCATATTGTTCATAGGGAAATGTCATGCTAATGAAAATTTGAGAATTTTGTTTCACAAATACAGAGCTCTGAAACTACATTAACTTCTCTTATACAGGACAATGCTTGTATAAGTTGGTTTAGATGAATATTTATCATTACTTAATCCCTATTTGACTGTAGAACCCCGAGCCTTCAGTTGATTTTGACACGGTTGCGAACGTAAAGCAGCAGCACGAAGTGAATGTTGGTAAGTTACTTGCATATTTTCCAACTGCTTCAAATCCCAGAAGCTCCCAGTTTAGTAACAAAATCCTGCAATTCTCTGTTTTTTCAGCTATCTCAAATTCATTTGGATTTGGTGGACACAACTCGGTCGTGGCATTCTCAGCATTCAAACCTTGAGCGTGTGCGTTAGCTTATACTTCGAGGTTTTGTAGGAGAGTCCAGCCTTAGCCTTATCTGAGAATAGTCGCTAATTTATTTACGAACGAGGTTGCTTTGCTCGCTGCAGGCGTCTCTGTCTGTCTTTCAGTGTTTAGGTCTATATGCAATTTGTGATCATCATCATCATTCCATTTGTTGCTGTGTTTCTGATCCAATAAATGAGTTACTTGAACTTAAAGCGAGTTTTTTTGGGTTAGATAATATTAGATTTTCTGTTCACATTCTCTGAAGAATTTCATCAAAATGTTGTAATGAAGTAGTTTTTTTCTCTGCAATTCTCTTGTTCTTGCATTTTCTGAATGTTTTATAGATAGAGAAATGAAATAAGGGGTCTAGAGATACTCAAGAAGCGCGGAATTTATGAGATCTAGATAAATAGTATTTATCCTCGTACTATCGTTAAAAACTATTTATCCACGTACTATCGTTAAAAACTATTTTTATAGTTCTGATCATGTACTTGATAAAAGTATTTTTGAACTTTTACCAAAAAGAAAGTATTTTTTAACTTTTAACAAAAAGAAAATTTTATGGATAAACTTAATGAGAATTTTGAAAGTTTATATTAATTTATTTTAAAGGTATTTTTTGAATTTTTATTTTGAAGTTCAATTTTTTTTTAAAAAAAAAATAAAGGGCAAAGTTGGTAATTCACTTTTAAAACAAAAAAAATTCGAGAATCAGACCATTTTTTAAATTAAAAATTTTATGGGTCAAAATATTGATTTTTTTTTTTTTTAAGTTTAGAAATAGATCAAAGTTTTTAAGAACCATAGTTGATTATTATTATTATTTTCTTTAATTTTCAGATTCTTTGTTGTCACGAGATACTAATCATGAATTAATAAATTTGAAGTAATTATGGTCTTAATTTCATTAAATTATATTATTTAAAAGTATTCAATTTGTAACAACGAGGACTCCGTGGCCCAATGGATAAGGCGCTGGTCTACGAAACCAGAGATTCTGGGTTCGATCCCCAGCGGAGTCGATTTCTTATTCTTATGCAATTCCGTGCTTTTCTTTTTTCCTTTTTCCTATTTTATTATTATTTTTTTTTTACAAAATTAATTCAGAGGATTCGAGTAACTTTAAAATAATTGATTAATAATTAACTTTCTGAAATATACCAATAAGGACTCCGTGGCCCAATGGATAAGGCGCTGGTCTACGAAACCAGAGATTCTGGGTTCGATCCCCAGCGGAGTCGAATTCGTTTTCTTTCTGCAATTCCGTGCTTTTTCCTTTTTCCTATTTTATTATTTTTCTTTTTGACAAAATTAATTGAGAGGATTCCAGTTACTTAAATAAAATTAGTGGGCAATAAACTTTATCCTTTTTCTAAAGAGATATAATTTTAAATATATATATTCAACCCGTAGTTGAAAACTAAAATTAGATATTTAGATATCACCCTTGTGTTTGTTCGGAGTAGGTGCTTATCAAGTGTGAGATATCACATCAATTACATATTTAGATATTAGATTAGTCAATAATTTATCGGAATTTTCCCTCTTTTTACACCCTTGTGGACAGATAAGCATAGGGTCTTATAGGACTCGAAAATTTTACTTCGAGTTGCTTAGCACATTTCTTGGAGAGTAACTTCATTATATCTTCTTCTTTTCCCTCTTTCGTTTTACAACCTTTTTTATGTCAAAGTCTTCAATCGAAACTACTAGTAGTTTTGAGGGGAACCCTCTCTTTCAAGAGAATTCAGAGCATGTCAAACCTCTTGGTAAGGTTCTTCTCGTCTCCTTCTAAGTGTATTGAATAATGGACTGAGTGTACATGAATTGTACATGAGTTGAATTGGATTAAAGAAATTTTTTGACATGATTGGATCGGTGACTCTGATTGATGAATATGGTTCATAACCCAATCAATTCCAACTGAGTAACCCAAATAGAGATGTACATGGTTGAGTAGGATTGAGTCATTAAACATATCATATTAATAACTAAAATATCAAAAATTCTCGAGTTAATATATTATAAAACCAAAAAATGATAAAATAATATAAAAGAAATCAAACAAAATAATAAAATAATATTAAAAAATTCAAACAAAATAAAGAAAGAATATAAAATAGTGTATAGGCTAAAGTCAAACTTGGGAACAACATTCTTAGTCACAACAAATTACCACACTAGTAAACTTATTTTAAACTTCGGTTTGGGTCCTCTCTATGTCCAATGAACCTAAAATCAGAACCGTACATATTCAGATTCAAAAAAATTTACCCTAAAAAGCTAATCCAATCCATCCCAACCCTTATAATACGAGTTAGGTCAATTCGAATGGTCATGAACACCCCTCATATTACCTAAAATTGTTCTTCAAATGAAGTCAAAGCATTTCCATAAATCAGCAGGAAAATGAAAAATCAGAAGCAAAATTTGACGTCCTCCAATAAGATTGAGAAAATTCATTGCTAACGAAAAGAAATGAAAGAAAAAATGTACCAAAATTTTGAAGATTTAAACCAAACTCTATTGCATCTGCTGCTGCTTGCTCATGGGAGAAAGGGATGAGTTTACATGAACAGATTGGGTTTGGAAGCCTTGTATGTGGTCTTGAGCTTCCTGGTTGGAGGTCTAACCTTCTTGAACACCAACGGAAACTTGATCTTCGAATCATGGAATTGTTTGGTGCTTTCCCTCTTGCATAGCTTAGCAGGAACAGTGGCAGTCTTGATGATTTGGATGCATGGAGATCTAACCCGGTGTCGAGAAGCCATCTCGGTGTACATTTGTTCTACAGCGCTGTTGAGAGTCGTGTCACGATATTCCTTGTACATGTTGTGATAGCCAGTTCTACTTTGGTAGCGGAGCCAGATACCATAGTTCTTGATTTTGGTGGGATTCTTCTCAAAGATCTGCAAGGAAATCATATTGAAGATTATTTGTAACAGAAAAAACTCGAAGAATTTCAAAAATCCAAGTGGAGCAAGTATGATCCTACACTCGGTATCACATCATCACAAATGCACATGAAAGGTGTTACTAGTAGATATTATTTTCTTTGGGCTTTCCCTTTCGGATTTCCACTCAAGGTTTTTATAAAACGCGTTTGTTAGGAAAAGGTTTCCACACCCTTATAAAGAATGCTTCGTTCACCTCCCCAACCAATGTGGGACCGCACAATTCACCCCCTTTGGGGCTAGCGTCTTCGCTGGCACTCGTTCCCTTTTCTAATTGATGTGGGATCCCCCAATCCAACCTCCTTAAGGGCTTAGCCTTCTCGCTGGCACACCGCCCTATGTCTAGCTCTATACCATTTGTAACATCTCAAGCCCACTGCTAGCAGATATTGTCCTCCTTGGGCTTTCCCTTTTGGGCTTCCCCTCAAAGTTTTTAAAACGCATCTGCTAAGAAGGTATCAGCCCAACGAACAAATTGAATCAAATTCTGTGAAGTCTAACTTACATTTCATGTACTTAAAAATTTAACAAGTTCAGAATATCAATAATGTTGAATACATTTCCAGAGTCCAACGAATCAAATCGAGTATAAAACTATTACGAGCATCACACGTAAACATCAAGGTTTTAACTTTCGAACAAATAGCCATCTTTCCGCAATTACCCGATAAATTGTTCTATATGCTTTTGAATTGTAAACACTAATACCCTTTTGTCATTGTCTATAGCAACCTTTGAATCTTTCCTCTCCCCTTGAAAATTGACCCCTTCCCTTTTAAAAAGTCTATTGCAAGCTTTGCATCAATCTTCTGTCTAAAAAAGTGGGTGAGGAAGTGGAGGTACCCACTCAATGAAAGTAGCTATCAAATGACTGAGTTAGCTTGAGTTGCATTTAGACACAAATCTATCAAGAACTCACTATTTTTTTAAATAGATATGAAAAACGACACTACTATAAATTCTCTCTCCACCTTTTCCCACGCTTTCTTTTCTTAACTTCATCAAGACCTCTGCACCCAAATAATTTCTTATTCTCTAACTAAAGAATCAAATAACTTTTCCACAATGTCACCCCCAGCTAAGATGTTCCATTCCCAGTTTCACCCAATCTATATGCTTATAAAGTAGAGAAAAGAGAGTCCTTCGTTGACAACGTCAACACCGAGGAAATGGGCAAGCTTTCAAAGTGTTATGTCTCAATTATTATCCGAAAACAAAAAGGGTACTTGGATAAAGCACATTCATTTCGACACATCAAGAACTAACACGAGAATCTTCACCATTCTCTACATTTAAGACATAAAATACAAATGACAACCACTTATTAGCTAACCGGACAAACACAATATTTGTAATGCATTTCCTTCTTAATCAGTAGAAGTATCAGTTCAGCATCAGCCTAAGCTAAGAAACAGCCAGAGGATTACATTTTCACAAAGCTAAGAACTTAATGTAAATAAACTCAAAAGATATCCATTGTTCCACGCATGTATTACCTCATTAATAGCAAGCACTTGTCCGTTACTCTTCTTGACCTTCTTCAACTTCCTCAAAAAGTACCTGATTCGAAAAAATTAGACAACTCGTCACAATTAAACAACTCCATCCAATAGCTTTCCGAAAGTGAAATGCATTGGCATTTCTAACGTGAAACTCACCAGAACTTGGACTTAGCCCGAACCTCATTAGTGGCCCATAACTTCATTCGGTAAATCTTAGGGTGTTCATCTGATTCAGATGGAATCGCCCTTCCTACAACCTGGTATTGGTGGAACTGAAAAAAAAAAAAAAAAAAAAAATACTAATTAAACACTCCTCGAATCCACCGCGTTAATTTCGATTCAGAAAAAAACTAATCAAACAAAAATGTGATCAAATCGCATTTCAAAATTGTTCTGGAATCACGGAAAAAACAAATCAATGAAGAAGAAAATCAAATACTCAATGCCTCTCCGTATCCCTGCACTAATCTAATAAACATACGAAAAATTCATCATAATACATAGAGAATGCCTCTGTTGATGCTTCCTATATCATCCATTATACAAAATTAAGAGATCTAAAAGAACGGAAATCATGTCTTACCCTAAAAGACACCATCTCGGAGGAGAAGAGAAGCTGCTGATGCCTCTGTCACCGATCTCCCTCTTCCCGACTGGTTTCGAATGCGCGGGGCTAGGGCTTTTCTCCCAATATATACCTGAGCTTTCAGGGGTAAATATCTTAAATCCACACCACTTTTTTTCTTAATTTTGTATTTTATTATTATAGTTTAATTTTTATTGTTAACTTTAAAAGCTCCATCGTTTAGGTTAGCATATTACGTGTGAGACTCGATATTGAAAAAGTTAG